CTCTTTCTAATCATCTCATATATTATCTTTCTCTTTCTAACACATTTTTTTTTCTTTTTTCTGACGCTGTGCTTAGACGCAACGCATAAATTTGAATAGGTGGCGTGATCAAAATAAAGAGAAAATAGGACTATATAAATTAGCAAGCATCTAGTCTTTTGCGACAATATTGTCGCTTTTCTTTAATCAATTGATATTCAATAAGACAAAAAAAACCAAGTCATTGCATACATTTTCTTTCAAACGATTAGGCAACAAATAAATCGATGCATAAAAAAACAACCTATGAATTCTAACCTCATTCAAAGTACAAAAAAAAAGAGGAGTGAATATAAGAACAAGTAAATTCGTGCTTTTTTAATTCTTATTCGACCTTAACATATTCAGTGATAAAGTACATTTGATTCGGTCATAAATAGTATGTAATTTACAATAAAATCAATTTGTAGAAAGTTTCATTTTCTTCTGCCTTTTTTTACACAACTACTTCTTTTATTATTTCAATACATATGGAGAGAGTATCTCTTACAATAAAGAACAATGGAAGAAGGTATGTTGAAGATTTGTATTTGTTAGTTAATTAAAATAAAAAAAAGAAAAAAGAATTTTTATTCTGAAAGAAAAATTCACTTTCTTTCGTTTTTGCTTATTATTTTATTTAGAACTAAACTTCCTGCACCAATGTTTGATCGATCACAAATTAGTATTTGGAGTATACTTAAGCAATGTATTGGAAAAGTAAATAATTTAATGTAACATAAATAAAATTATCTGTTAATTAAAAAGATAATATTAAGTTTCGAGATATAATTCAATTTTTGCCTAGAAATATTTCGGTTCATGTAACTCTAATTGAAAAGATTCATATTGATGCACAAGTTTTGAGTATAGTTCGACTATGATTCAATATTGTTGTACGATAATTGATTATCTCATTGAATGCATAATATTTTTTTTTTTTTTTTATTAAGAATTAGCAATGACAATAAATATTATGGTATCATTAACATTACATTGACTTCATCAAGTAGCTTTAAGTTTTTAGAGATTAACGACTTCGAATTAACTTGAGATCGATAGATTATTCAGTTTGAAAAAGATTACTTCTGATAGAGATCGTATTACTTACGAAAGAAAGTCCCCAAATGATAAATTGCTTTTAAATCTGGACTTGATTCAATCGATAACGTTTAGTGAGTATGTAAATACTCTTGAATGATTCGAGCTACCAGATTTTTATTGCTGAGATAACGAGTTTTCAATGGACTTTGACTGGAAACTTTGTCTAGGTTATATGCACCAATTAGAATAGATTGTAGAAAAAAATTTCTGAATTTTTTATAAAGTCTCTTTAAGATATGAATATTGTAAAATATCGAAATTTTTTTACGATAACAATGACAATGTGCCGATATTTTGGAAAATTCGTATCTTGGTGAGACTTAGTCAAAAAATTTGAAAGTTTTTTTCCACCAGTTACTTTAATCGGCGTCTTTATATGGGCAAAGTTTCAGCTCGAAATTTGAGTATATGATTTTGCTTGCAAAATAATGTCCAGCAAGACAAAAGCTTTCTAAAAACTTGATATCTCAGAAAGTAAGGCTCAGCAGTTCGAATCATTCTACAGTGTTTACCAGCTCACAGCAGATCGTATTAATTAAATATAGTTCCAGCTTAAAAGCGATTTATCACTTGGGAACCTACTGTTGTTAGTGTTGTGTGAAAATTTCATTCATCAACAGGAAATCACTTAACGAGAACACAATACTGTTATTACTTTTTTTTTTTAATAATTTGTCAATGATTACTATTGAATTCTTTTTTTGCTATGATGAAAAACAATGGCAAAACTCTTCAATATAAACCGAATGAATTAAATCTCGAAGCTTCGTTTATTCTTTTTTTTTTATTTTGATTATAGACGATTGTTAAAAATTACATTTCAATATTAAGAAAAAAAAAAAGAAATCATGTCTTTTAATTTATTAGGAATTATCGAAAATATCAATGCCGATAGTGTGGAATGAACCGGTTTCATTTCTTCAACGTTTTACGGAAAATGTGCTTTATTCATATTTACTTGATCGAGCCGATGAATGTACTGACCCAATAATGCGAATGCAGGTATATTTATTCCTATATATTTATCATATTTGATTTGACTGAATTTATTTTATCAAAAAGTATGTCGCAGCATTTGCTGTATCATCAATATCAAGTAATATTGATCGTTTATCAAAACCATTTAATCCACTACTGGGTGAAACATATGAATTTGTTCAGTTAGTTATAAAACAATTTTAACTAAATAAAGTCTTTTATTTTTCATCTATTAGTGATGATTTACCATTTCGTTATATGAGTGAACAAGTAAGTCATCATCCACCAGTTAGTGCATTTACATGTGAGTCAAAAGATAACGGTGATCGATGGCGATTTTACGGTAGTATTTTACCTAAAGCAAGATTTGCTGTTAAAAATATGGAAGTTAATCCAAAAGGTTTATTAACACTTGAACTTAAACGGTAAATGAAAACAACACACGCACGTAAAGAAATTCATTATAAAAATATTTTTCTTTGGTATGTGTTTTAGACATAAAGAAATTTATACATGGGAAAGTGTAACATGTACAATTCATAATATTGTTGTTGGACGACTTTGGTTTGAATATGTACGAATATATTTTGATTTAAAAAACAAAAAAAAATTTTTCTTTTGTTTCTTTAATTAAAGCATGGTACTATGGAAATACTTAATCATTCAAATAAAATGAAAGCTATTTTAAATTTTAAACCATATTCATGGTCATCAAAAGAATTACATAAAGTTGAAGGTTATATTTATGATTCACAGTAAGATATTAGATTGACTCTTCTTTTTTTGATATTTTAATTATAAGTATTAATATACATATATATGATTTCTTTTAATTAGAAAACGTAAAGTACGGGGTTTATATGGTTATTGGACAGATTCATTATATTCCATAGATATTGATCGTTTTGAATTATTTTTAAAACAACAAAAAAAAGAAATAAAAAATTCATCAAAATATCCTCAACAACAAACAATAAATTCATCAACAGCAACACCTAATGATATTGATAGTACAGATTTAGATGAAGAGTTACCTGAAGTTGATCCGTCACATGAACAACTTAATCTTCCACCAAATTCACTTACACTTTGGAGAATTATGCCAAAATTAGAATATGCATCACAAGTAAAGATATATTTTTGTTTTCATATGAATAAATCAAAAATAATATTTATGATTTTTCTATTAATAGTATTATAATTTCTCATTGTTTACTATGGCGCTTAATCAATGGACAGAAGAAGATAAAAAAACACGACCACCATTACCACCAACTGATTCACGATTTCGTCCAGATATTCGTAAAATGGAAGAAGGTGATATTGATTTAGCTGGGCAAGAAAAAGATCGTCTAGAAGAAAAACAACGTGCCACAAGACGAACAATGGAAAAACGTCGAGAAGAATGGCAACCGAGGTATAAATTTTTCTTTCATATGTTAGAAGAATATTAAACACTTAATGCTTTCTCTTTTTTGTGAATATATTAGATGGTTTCGTCGCATCAAACATTCAGTAACAGGACAAGATGTATGGATATCAAATGAAAAATATTGGCATCGAAATTGGGCCAATTGTCCAGATATCTATTAGTACCATTGATTTGTTTGTTTTCTTTTGTTTTCTTGTTTTTTTTTTTGACGGTGCTTATTATTCTTCAATTCAATTTCGTTACTTCGTAGTCTCTTTTTTGCTTTTCTATTTCTGTCTATTTTTGTTTATGAGTATGATCTCAAATCATAAATAGGCTTCGTTGATGGTGAAAATAAATTTTGCACAAATAATTGCTCACAATAGGAGGCTTAGCCTCAAATATTGACAATAACCACGTTTCTAACGATAGGTATTATTTGAGAGAAAAAAAAAAATATATAAATATAAACTCATACATTATGTGTGAACTGTACGAATATGTATTTTACTCTTTAGTATTCTTAACTGTAAACATTCCTACTATAGATGGAATTATATTCATAGATGCAATAAAACATTGATTTTGTCTTTCATCATAACAGAAATATATTTCTAATTTTAATCAAAAGAAAAAAACAAACTCCAATTGTTTAAATATATTTTTATTCTATTAACAAAATTTCATGAAAGATAAAAAAAATGTAAATAGACAAATTTTGTCCTTCAAAAAGGTAACATCTCTGGTTACTTTAAACTGATATTTGCTTCTGTTTTGTTATGTAAGATAAAAAAAAAAAGATATCTAAAGTTCTAAAAGTAAACGAATATTTATTAAATATTTATTCATTTATAGATATAATTATTTTAAAAAATTATCAAGCTTTTTATTTTTGTTCTAATAAGTTCTTCTTTTTCGGAAATATTTATTTTTGGAAAAAAGAGCATTTAATGTCATCTTGAGATGTGGGTATTAAGGGTTTCCTCTTTTCCTACGTCCTGCATATGTCTATTGAGAAGTAATACGTAGCTTTGTATATTATTTACGATTGTTGTCTTTGAATGCCATCAGAATAATTGTTTTTTTTATATGAGAAATCATGCACTAAAACAATACACTCCTATGACTAGTGTAGTGTGTGATTCAAATTAGGAATATTGATGTAAAAACAGCCATGAAAGAAAAAAACTAAGAAGGTAACCAGATATGTAGGTAAAACAGTACGACAGCTTATATTTCGCACATCATAAAAATGTTATAAATATACAAGTATTCAAGCACGCACTCATTTGTAACTAATATGTTAATTGATGTTGACAAATCTATTTTTTTAAATGTTTTTTTTATTCTAATGAAGAAAAAAAGTAAAAATTTTGTTTAAACTTAATTTATCAAAAATAAACCGAATGAAATAATAAAATGCCTCAAAATCAAGCCATATTTGATCATTAGTTGAATGAAATGTTTGCATATGTGTCTGATTAGCTATCTAGATTGTACTACATTGATCGAGAAATTCAAATCTTGTAGCCTGTTTAATATCTGTAAAAAATTGTGTAAGTATATTACCATTTAAATCTTTAATTTTAATCATTAAATTATCATATAATGAATAATAACGATGAAATGGATCCAATAAAACAGGTAAACATGGTTTAATTAATTCATAATTATGTCGTATTATTGCCCAACTTTCTTGTTGTTTAATTGAAGTTTATGAAAAATCTCTCCATAAAACAAAAATATCATTACAAGCAACACCATGAAAATATGGTGGAACTATTGATAAACTTGGACAAGTATGAATTAAACCTTAGATTACTGAACCATTATCATATACTGATGATATACGAGCACTATATAAAAGAAAACTGAAAATTAATATTTTCTTTTTTCTTTATAAGTTTTCTTTTTCTTTTTTTTTGTTTACTGTATATGTCTGTGGATCTAATTGTGTGTAAACAACATGTTGTCGTGTTGTATTTATTTTTGATTTTTGTCCAACGTTCATTTAATAAATAATCATGAGCTTGTTCTTGAATAGTAATGCCAATTCGTCTATCGAGACTTAGAAATAGATACTCATTTTGAGTGTTTATCAATAAGTAAACGTTCTAGTTAATGATTAAAATTATCCATCCATGTATATTATAATAAATGATTTTTTTATTGGATTATGAAAACGTTCTATAGGTTCAGTTTTTAATTCATTTTCAATCCAATGACGTATTACAATACGACAATAAATCGGATCAACTAAATTATAATACTTACAATGTAAATTATGTTGACCTGACTTAAGACAGCGTGAATGATTTGGAATACAATGAAATGGATTTGATAATGAATGAATAAATGTAGTTGGACATACATATGATGATAATATATTGGTTTTATTACATGGTAACTATGTTTTCATCTATAAAAAAAAAAGAAATAAATTATTATATGATATGAAAAATTAATACTGTTTTCTGGTTTTTGTTTTGACTTACATGACTATCTGGTTTATATCCTAGAAGTGCTTCAGTTTGTTCTAGTCGTTGTTGACGACATGTATTTAGTCGAATAATACTAATAATTAAAATTAAAGCACCCATAATGAGAATTAAACTTAATAAAACTGGAAAAATTAATGATGTTAAACGAAATGAATGATGTTGATTCAGATGATGAGATTTTATTAAATCATTACCATCATCGTAATCATGATTGATTTGTATTTGAAATTTATTATTACTAATAGATGTAGGAATGTTTTGATCCATGTTCATAACAGAAGAACTAAAAGTATGTTATCTAGAACGATAGAAAGAATGAAAGTGAAATGTAAAAGTATTCGATTTGATGTACATGCAATAAACAAGAGAAAGATAGCGTTTTCAAAAAACATCTCGAAAAGAAATCAATCTATAAAAATAAAACGAAAGAAAGAGAAAAGTTATGTAAACATATTGTTTTCTTCATCATTAGAATGCAATTGCAATAATCAACACTTATCATATGTACTCAACACTCGAGATAAGAAAATAATTATTTACCAATAAAATCAATATCAAAACTAGATGGCATTCGAGTTTCACTTGACCGCGAAGCTACGATGGACAAATAATCGTGTATTATCAAGTGTATTCCCAGATATCAGAGTGATGACTAATATTTCTTGTTTCTTGCTAAGCTTGCAAGTACAGAAATTTGCTTTTAATTTTGGGTGACTTCCTGTAGTAAATTGAAACATGCTTTTGAAGAACAAAAAAACGGATGCTATCGATTCAATCATAAAATTTTATCCTTGCATTTGAATGAGTCTTTTCTGACTTTCCGTTCTCGAGATCATAGCGGCAGATAATTACAATCCTTTGATGCGTACGTCGTAGGAAGTATTTAATAAAAAGAGATCAAAACTCGTGAAGCACTACAGAAATGTTCTACTTCACACGGCAGTATTGCTTTGTCCTTTTTAATTCATCGGTATTAATAGATTATTTCATAAAATATTCTTTATTGTTAAATATGAAGTTTTTTATCGATCATTTATTATTGACTTCGAAAGAATCCAAATAAGTATTGTTGTCTAATACAAGAAAAAATATATTCGAGACAACAAGATGTAAGTAATGTCAGATAAACTGAATTAGGAAACTTATTGAAAGGCTAATGATATCTAAAAAAAGATAACTGTAAATAATAAATATACTACTGATTTGCTTGTGGCGTTTTCAAAAGAGCAGTCAATTAATATTCTAGTCATGATTTACAAATGTTTATTAAGACAATTTCCTATGTAGAAATATCAAGCGTTCCTTCTATAATTATGGGAATTATGATGTATGAAATTTGGTTGTCATAAAAATAAACTTCTTCATCTTTATTCAAACAATATTTCCAATCTAATTTGTTTTTTTTTTGTTTGCGTAACTATGGTTTAAGACAAGATATTCTACACAGTTAATCTACTTATAGTATGCTCATTTTTTCTTTCCTTGGTGGTACTCTTTGATACATTCTTCTATCTGTTTAACGCCACATTGTAGGAAAGTTTTACTGTATCTTTAACATCTTATCTATTCGATGTATTATTATATATATATATATACATAGAGAGAGAGAGAGTAAATGAAGTATTGCATCATTGTACATTCACAGAAATGTTATAGATTGTTTAGATAGTAGAAATTATTCTAATTATCGAATATGGTCATTTGTTTAGATTAAATATAAGTCATAAGAATTAATTTAAAAAAAAAATTTGAATTAAATTTTTCTTATTTTTAAAAATTGAAAATATCCAAAGTCTAGTTCTTGTATCAAATGAATGTTATATATTTCTTTTTTATGTATGTTATGTTAACTATCATATTTTTCATGGCATTTATTCATTCATTTGTTCTTTTGCTTTCTTGATTGATACAAGACATTCTTTCTGCATAACAATAATCATACGAATGGTTTATAGACGACTAACAAATTCATAATCTATCTATATTGTTTTATATAACCAATGGGATGTTAAATAGATGCTAATCGAAACGCATCAATAATCATCACCATTATCACATCCATCTTTAAAGGAGTCTTTTCATTATTTATCAAAAGTGTAACATAGCTTTAGTTTTCTTTCAATGGTGTTTCCATCTGTTTTGTCTCATTAATTCGTGTAGATACAAATGGAGCTCGTCATCATATTTATAATATATATATAAATATACACATATAAGTGTATTTATTGGAATCGAAAAAAAACGGAAATAATTGTTGAAGAGAACCCATAAGAAAAACGTTAGAAAGACACAAATAGCTATATATTCTTGCTGTTACTAATCGTTTACACGGAAACTAGAGATATCGGAAAATAGTACGATGAATGAATTTTCTATTCATTTTAGTTCTACTATCAGCAACAGTAGTAGAGTCTAGTATGCATCTATGTAATAAGTGCTGCCGATCTGTTTATTCGAGTTTTCCGTTTTCTTCTCTTTTTATTTCTTTCTCTCTTTCTCTCTCTCTCTTCATCGGGCTGAGATCAATCTCAAGCAAACAACAACAACCTATCTGCATTAGCAATCGATGACACGTGTGCCTACGTATGTATTATTACTCAATCTCAGTTGATAATATTTCAAGGGTGACATTTGCCTCGGTCGGATGCTTTTTTTTCTTTTTTTTTTTTGACAATGACATCAAGATCTCACAAATCAATGACTCTATGTACTACTAGTTCCACTAGTTCTACTAGTCTTACTACTGTTGTTGTCAATGTAAATGACGATTATGCTAAATGGCATTGATAAAACTATAGAACCTTTATTTTGTGGAGCAGCCGTCATTCTTTCTTTTTTATCCCTATGGCGATTAGTTTGCCATCGTAGTTTCATCGTCACTACATAAAAAACCGGAAGGAAACCAAGCTAAATGCCAAGCTTTCTCTGTTTTTTTTCTCCTTCCATTTAAAACCTACAGCCTACGGGCGTCCCACGTCCACCATCAAACGATTACAGATGACTATGGCCAAGAAAATATAATCGATGCTTTTGCACCCAAACATACGAAATCTCGTTTTTTTTCTCTCTCGTCTTCATTTTTTTTTCTTCTTTTATATGTCCCATCTGTGTCACACACACAGATATATATATATATACATATTTTCTTCGTATATGTTAATCATTTGACAGAGATACATGTTTGATTTTACATACAAACACACATACATTACAAATACAATCTTATAATTGACAGTTTGTCAAGGTATTTTTCGAAATGTGAATAGCATTGTTGAGCAGCACCATCAATTCACATTTGTCTTTATTCTTTTCTTTCAACTATCCTGTTTTTTTGTCTTGAATGGCATCGATTAGAATATGTGTGAATGTATATGTGTAGTCTCGTTGTGTCGAATGCACAATGAAGTCAACGCTCGCAAATGAGTTGTCTCAAGGAGCTATTCCGTCATGATGCATATACACACATCCACTAGACGCGACTGCACACTACTTTATGGTGTTTTCTCGCGTCTGTGTTTTCTCTCTTCTTCTCATCTTTCTTGTTCTTCGACTTGGTTGTTATAAAAAGCAGCACATTAGTAAGACTAGCGATGAGAACGACAACGACAACGACGATGACGACTACTATTGAATAGTGACATTGTATTTCTATCAAATCTTGTGCACTCATCACAGAAGAGTTGTATGATATATTATATCATTTGTTAAGTTAGAATAGACTATCGATGTATGTATTTCTGTCTCTCTTTCTCCCTCACACTCGTTTTTTTTCTTTATTCGATTCATTGAGTATTATCTTTTGCGTTAAGTAATAATCTTTTTTCATGTCTCAATGGGCGGATTGAGGAAAATAGAATTGATCGATCTTATTTTTATGTTGAGTTCTATAGTATTTCAAGGATGATTGAAATCTAGAAAAGAACGAAGAAAAAAAAAATAAATGAAAAGTAAAGATTGTCTAGCATATTGATTGAGTGTTCGTTCGTTGATGATGTCTTTTTTTCTCGGTTTTTTTTTCTCCTATCTCTCTAATTAGTAACGAGATGCAGATTCGATCTTCTTGTATGCGCGACTGACTAAATAAAATATATCTGTCTGTTGTGCGAATGCAAACAAGTCATATTATCTAGCTAGCACAAAAAAAAAAAGAAAATAAGAAGAGAAAAGATGGTATAAATACTCTGACTTAGATATAACGAATAAACATTGATCTCAGTGATAAAGCTAGGATTGACAATATTTTATATTCTTAATAGCTTATGTCATTTCATGTTCATTTCTTCATCAGAAAAAATAGTCTATCTATTCACTTTTCGAAAATGTTTGAAAGCATGTTGTTCTAGTCTCATGTAAGCAACAACTGTTGATATTTACTCGACATATATTTAATGCTGCCGTCACTCCCAATTGGTCTTAGCAAAAATATAGTCAGATGTGAAGAAAGATAAAGAACAAAGAAATTATTTTGTTTAGAATATAACGATCAATGAAGAAGAAAATTGCACACTATCATTAACAATTCCATTGTGTTTGCAATATGATCTTTTGTATCTAGATACATTTTTCAGATTATTTAGTCTATTTCATTTTTTTAATAGTATTGGTTCGTCGATGTCACATTAAATCTATCATCACCATCCACAACATTCCCTTGTGAAAAAAATAGTGAGAATGATGACAATTTCCGTTACTTTCTTCTGTTTCCTTTTCTTACCTTCAGATTTCTTTACTTTTTTTTTTCTTTTTAGCAATAACTACCTATGTACTGTTATATAGTTGACATGAAACTGGAAAGAAAATATAAAAGCCATTAAAGAATAGAAAATACGAACGATGATAGTGATGATAATAATAGCTAATTCTAGTCTTCTTTATATGTATTCATTCCGATGAATTCTTTATTCTCGTCTGTCGACATCTAATCATCACACAACTCCTACTACTACGAAAAAAGTGCTAGCACTATAAAACAAGATAAAGAGAGGAAAAAAAAACAAAATCTTGCGAACGATTTACGCGCTTCTCGTCATCATCTTCATTATTGAATGATGGGATAAGATCGATCAAAGAAAATCAAGACGAACATATCGCCTATAAGCAACAAGCGAACGGTATCGGTAGCACTTGCTTTTTAGTTAGTGTCAGCGCCTGTGGGAACTGTAGAAAGAGAGAAAGACAGAGAGACTGAGAGAAAGAGAAAGGGAGAACGAAGAACACACAAAGAATTTCATTAGAACGACAAGACGTAAGATGCGCACTATGTGTGT